GATGCACTTGTTCCTAGTAGCGAACCTTGTTACTACTAGTAAGGCACTTGTTACTAGTAGCGATGCACTTGTTCCTAGTATCGAACCTTGTTACTACTAGTAAGGCACTTGTTACTAGTAGTGATGCACTTGTTCCTAGTAGCTTCTTGTTACTACTAGTAAGGCACTTGTTACTACTAGCGATGCACTTGTTCCTAGTAGCTTCTTGTTACTACTACTAAGGCACTTGTTACTAGTAGCGATGCACTTGTTCCTGCAGAGTATCTGAAGTCATGAGCATCGTTGAGGTATCAGTGCGGTATCAGACTTCAGATGGTGCGCTGACGATCGAACCGAGATCGGTGCCATCCTAGCTGAGCTGACAATCGCTGCGGGTCTACCCAAGCACAACAAAAAGTAAGGACCTCTTAGATAAGACATGATAAGGGCCTTACTTAAGAGTTTTCACAATTTGCTCCAGCGATTGGCATGGCCTTGGGATATTTTCATTCTTGGTTCGTGGTACCTTTTGACAAACACCTTCGCTTCCCCGAAAAAGTGACCTTTGCAGAATGTTAACTGACCTTTGTTGACTCCTTTGCAACGAATGCCGCGAATTTGGACGGAGTCTCGGCGCGACGCCAAGCGACCTCTTGACCGCTCAAACCATGACCGCCCGTGAGCAACACGTTTTGCGGAGAAACGTATGACGTTATGCTAGATCTGTCAATGATAAATGGAAAGTGTTTAACCAATTTGCATTGCAGTTTTTGCTTCTCAATGGTGCTACTTGGGGCAAAGGACCTCAGAAGCGCAGCGAGTGTCCGCCTTTCAAAAAGATTGAGATTGTCCCCCCCCACTGACCTTGCAATGTGACTTGGCTTCACCATATGCTTTTGCAAAAATGCCAACGCTCACTCCGGGAGCTCCAACATCAATGTTGAGAGAGAAGTTACACGGCCTGGTGATCAGCGTACCTTTTGGCACCTACAACGCTACATCCTTGTGTTCGAGGCGATCAATTCTGAGATTCGGGCACTCAAGTTTACCGGAATTCGGTCATGGAGGGATGCAATGCAAAGTGCTACATGTGTTACGTCCTCTGCCGTGATCGGTACAATGTTGTACCAGTTTCTCAAGCAACAGTAACAGGGATGTCTTGTTCCCCCGAACCTGGTTTTCGGACCAGCTCGAGTCCTCATCCTTTTTGACCTGCCAAAGGCCATGGGATGTCAGTGCGAACAGCGACCTAGACAGCAGGCTGTCTTTGTGTTTTTCTTTCTGAACATGGAAACGTGAACACGAACTCTCTGTTCTTCAGCAGATTTGGCCACATGATTTTTGGACGCTCGCATGAAAACCAGCCTTCCGCCAGTTACAGCATGGGATCTTTGGCAACAAGTGCAATTGAGGAAACAAAATGCGTTGGTTTGGACGCCAGACAAAATCATGAGGCTCAATGCCTTCCGGTTCATGCTTTCCTTCCGGTTGTTTCTCTTGTTCGCGCCATTGAGGCTGGAGATCTTGATTGTCAATCTGTTCTCACACAGGTTCGCCCTTGACGAAGCGCCTCAGTTGCTTGCGGTGCAGTTTTGTACTTTTACTGGTTTGAGGTTTCGGAAGCTTCAATTTTGGCAACAACGGGTTCTACCATCGAATAAGTGAGGTTCATATGTGTCTCCAACTCGGGATTGATCATGCCCCACTCCTTTCAAACGCCGCTCTGATCTGAAGCTCGATAAAGCAAAGATAAGCAAAGTGTCTTGACAGGCTGCTCCCCAAGCTTTGTGCTGTACTCATGTTGGCTCTTGGATTGCCCCTTGGATTCGTTCGCGTCTTTGTCTGCCTTTACAATCAAATGACCAGATTTTTGTCCTATAAACAATGGACCTGCCAGTTGTCAATCTCTGTGGCAAGTGGAGCCTGGGTCTGCTTTGCATCAATCTTCGCATGGCTGTTTGGGCATGGATGCCGCAAAATATTGAGGGTTTTCATTATCGTGTCTTCATTGACGACATCTACTTAGGGGCAGGCAGCAGGCAGTTGCCAAAGAATGGGATGCACTTTGTGGCCGATCCTTGAACAGTATTGAACAGTGACAAATGTGATTTTTTTTCACAAATGGTGCACTTTGCGCTGAACTCCCGTCGCCTTTCTCCAGAGATGAAATTGGTTGAGGTTGTTAATGTGCTGGGGGCGCACATCCAAACAACCCAAAAGCACGCTGGTGACTCCCCTGGCAACCATTCAGTCTGCGATTTGGGATTGCGTCGCAATCAAAACCTTGCCTTTGATGAGAGACATCAAACATAAATTTGGCTGCAAACGCTGGTTGTTCCACAGATTGGCGTTTTTATGTTTTTTTACGTTGGAAAACATCAGATTGCCGTTGCGGAAACCTTGTGGCAAACTCGACCTCTGGGTATTGTCTACAAGGCCTATCAGCTGGAACACTTTTGTTTGTTTCGGGCCGCCGGCCTTTAAAACCATCAAAGAGACAATTCGGTATCTGAAGAGTGAAGACATCCCACTTTGCAAGGCAGCGGTGGAAAGGTATTCTTACAAAGAACTTCAGCGCACAGTCTGGTGATCTTTTTTCAATCATGCACCGCCATTGGTTAGATCGGAGAACAATCTCTTTTGGAGTGAACCAGCGAATGTTTGCGTTGCATTTGCGCTGAGTGACCTGAAGTGCTGAAAGGTTTTATTTTTTTTGGAGCTGAAGTTTTCGTCCCGGTACGGGATGCCACTTGCCGTGTATTTCTCAGCGGAGAAAACGAACTTCCTTCATCGTGGGATGCTGAGGCCTTTCATCATCCTGTGCGCAGCCTTTGGTGGTCTCTCATGCCTAATGCGAGAGAAAAAGGAGGCCGTATTAAGAGACCCGTATTCTCAAGTTTTCCTCAGGTGAGGTGAGGGTTGCCAGGCTTTATCAGAGCTCTTCTCTTCCTCCTCCTCTTCCTTTTCCTCCTCCTCATCCGCTCCACCTCAGCCGTCAGCTCGCGATCGCAGCGGGCGCTACCGGACCTCAGCCGCCGCTCCCGATCGCACTGGGCACTGCCGGACCTCGCCGCCAGCTCCGGATCGCAGTGGGCGCTGCCGGACCTGAACCTCCAGATCACAGTGGACACTGCCGGACTTCAACCACCACCCGATCGCGGCGAGCGCTGCCGGACCTCAACCTCCAGCTCCAGATCACAGTGGGCACTGCCGGACCTCAACAGCAAGCTCCAAATCGCAGTGAGCACTAGCAAGCTCAAGGTCAGAGTGGGCATTACCGGATCTCAACAGCAAGCACCAGATCGCACACAGCCGGACCTTAACAGCAAGCGCCAGATCGCAGTGGGCACTACCGGACCTCAACAGCAAGCGCCAGAGCGCCGTGGGTGGTCTCGGACATCAACAGCACGCGCCCACACAACCACAAACACACAATACACAGCCAACAGCAACAGCACACAACAAACAACACACAACCTCAAACACAACCGCAACCACAACTACAAACACAACCACAAACGCACAACACACAATACACAACCAACAAAACACCAGCGCAAACGCAAACAGAATACGCTACACAACCAACAAAACACAACGACAAACACACAACCACACAACACACACACAATACACAATACACACCCACAAACACACAACACACAATACACAACCCTAAACAAAACCACAACCACAGCCACAAACAACAAAATGCAATCGCACAACCACAAGCAAAACCACAAATACACATCAAAAAAATGCAAACCACCAAAGCCACAACCAACAAAAACAACCACAAACACAAACACAATACAAACCAACAAAACACAACCCGCAAACACAACATACAATATACAGCCAACCACAAGCACACAACACACAAACACACAACAACAAACACAACCACAAACACACAACCGCATTCACACAACCACAAGCAAAACCACAAGCATGCAACCAACCAAGCAGAACCACGAAAACCCAACAAACAACAACCACAAACACAACACACACACACACAACAAACCTGGAGACCCTGGCGATACCCTGACGGGAACTCTCCAACACTGAAACAACACCCCCGAACCCGTGGACCCACAAGCAATATCGAGAACCACAAAGACCCCCACCATGGCAACATGCTCTTCACCATGCCATGAAAACAACTGATTGACATGTGATGGTGGGGATCACTCGAAGTAAAGTGATTGTTATTATTCCACTTGCAGCTTTGTCCTCGGACGCGGGTGCCACAAACAACTCGGTTTCGGCTCACTGTTCATGCGTACCCACGTTCGAACACACGTGGCAACGAATGGGGGAGTCCCGTCAGGACCGTCACGCAAGGACGACATGAAGAGCGCAGCGTGTCGTCATCCTGCGCTGGACACGAAGCGCGATTCCCAAGCGATTCCAGCGTTGCAACGAACAGAAGCAACGAGGATTCGGAGGTTGTTTTGATTTGTTTTGCATACGTACCTGACGGATGGTCAGCCTTCAGGTTTTCGTCGCCCACTCAGGATCTGGCAATTCCACCCCGAACTCCGTTGGAGAGGACACTGCCATCCTCAACCCACGACACCGAAACCGTTCGGTGTTGGCAGACCAAAGCAGATCGAGCGGCCGGTTGGTTTGCCAAAGGTTGCCACCATTCTTATGCTCGTTTGATCACCAGTAGAAAATAGATGAAAATAGTACACAGTTCAAATCACCTTGTTGCATCGTAAGACAACTGCTGCTTGTGAGTGGTTGTCATGCCCGACTACTGCTTCTCTGGAGTCATGAGACATGGTAAAATGCAAAGCATATTGAAAGAGATGTTGAACCATGGTCTTGTTTCCAACCTCCCATAGATCAATGATCACAATCCAATCTTCACTGCTCCATCGCCTCTCGGATGCCCGACACTCATCAAAGATCTCTTTGAGAATCCCCGAGCAGCAACGGCACTCAGAGTCACATGCAAGAGGTTCCACCTGCCGTGCGGCGCTGGACACCACAACGTGCGAATGAATGACCCGGAACAGGCCGTGCCAATGAATGACCCGTGCCGTGACCCGGAGAGCGTGGACATGCAACTGACCGGAACTCATGCCATTGTGAAAGCAAACAGTGGTCTCCCTGGCGGTGGGGAGACCTTTGGTGCAACCCATGGTGGCAGAAAGTCACGTGAGTCTCATGTGTGTGTGTGGTTGTGTGTGTGCCACGCGCATACCAAATTCTCGTTGAACAACGCACACACACACACACATTCCGCACAAATACAGACTCAGTTCGTTTCCAGTGTATGCTGCAAAGGTTATTTTTACCTATTCATTGTGTTAACAACATTTGCGATTGCTTCTGTTCATCTCTCATTTCAAGCAAGTGGCCTATTTGTCTGTCTTGCATGTCTTTGCGCGCTTTTAGATGTTTGATGCACCTGTGAACAAATGATACAATTGAACAGGTGGCCTTGGCTTATCAAGACAGGCTACAACACAGGCGGACATGACATCCGGCAACTTGCTTCGTGCAACTTTCAATGGACCCTCCCGGCGCACAAGTTGCAGGTACTGCTGGTTGGGCAGGTCAGGGATTGCAGTGTCTTTCCATCTGGATCTCCTCAGTGGAAAAGGACATGCACTGTTCTTGATCAAATCTCAACATGTGCCGTTCTCGAGCTGGATATATATATAATTATATATATATAATTAAAACTCATTAAAAGTAGATGTGTCTGAGATGTCTCGGGCATTGCATGATGCTTCATGAAGCAAACTCATGTGGAGCAACAAACACACCACATAAACACCGCACTTATGTCGCTGCTTGCTGATCCAGCTTTATTACACTCACCAGTTGTGACAGCATCTCACATGAAATAACGTGTCAATCATGTCAAAAACAATCACAAAACAGCACATTTCTCGGGCGGCCCTGGCCAACTGTACGGTGGATCAAGCCATGCTGATGCTCCTGTTTCCAACAATTGCATGTATACTGTATACTTTCAATGGGAGAATCATGAACGACATGTAAAGAAACCCGTTCATGAGGCATAGCCAGGCACAGTCTTCTTTGCCAACAGAGATGCTGGAACAAATCGGCTTGGAGATGCTTGGAGATAATTTAAGCGTGTGGACATGTTGTTTTCAGAATGTCATTCATCTGCAATAAGCCTTCAAGTTCGGATCTCAACTAGCTTGAGCACATACAACTTTCATTCCAAATGGCAATCCAAGTTCACGCTCGACTCGCTGCGCGAACTTGGACGTATCGTGAGGATTTTGTCCCCAAACCTCATAGGACTCATCTCCAGCATCATCGTCGGGGTCTCCCAAGCCGACCTCAACGGAGCGCCGCCTCTGAGGCGGAAGACCGGCGTGCCGAGCTGAGGCTCGGAAGGTTTGAACGTCCAAAATGAAAACGAACACATGTTACGTCAATCACGGCGCTTGTGGCCCTTGTCTTATCATCATATCAGCCAATGATTCTCAAACATCAAGTTTTTTTTTTTTGTTTGTTTTTTTTTTTTTTTTTCGCTCGCTCCACTATACTCCACTGATTCATGTTGTGCCCTTCTTTTCTTGGTCTGTCTTTTCATTCACGTCTGTCACCCTCTGTCTCTTGTCCTGGGTGTTCTGACATCGATTGACCAGGATGCGATTATCTTTTGAGCGCCATCCCTGAGAGACGGATGTGTTGGCAAATCTTCGATTGATTCTCCGGTCAGCCCTCGTTCGGCCGGTCGGTCGTGCAGGATCATCTTTTCTTGCGTCGGTCTGGTTGTGGTTGTTTTTTTTCACACATGCATCCCCACGAAATGATCTGCGCGTTCCAACGTAGTGAAATGTGCAGGAAATTCCAACACTTTGCAAAAATGCCATGCATGATTTTAGGATTAGTTGAACACCTCCCCATCCCACCATACGTGCACATGTTCGGACACCAATACCACTGATGTCCCCAGTCCCCGGCGGCAGCACTTGCCGTCCATGTCGCTCCAGTTGGTCAGCCTCAAGCAGCAACATTTGCAGCTTAGCCAATAGCGTGCATCTCAGTGCACCAGGGCATCTTTCAAGAACTTGCTTGATCGCCGATCTGCTCCAAATGTAAATGGTATGAATGTAGATCTCGCAATTCGGCTCGCTTGAAACTGCTAGCGACCAATGCAACATATGCACCGAGCACCTGTAGTTCTGAAGCACAACAAATGGGTAGTTGTCAGTACAGTAATTACTGCAATCGTCCAACACACCATTCTGATTGACCTTCAATGTCACTTATATATATATATATATACATGAGTCTTCTCTCTCAATGCCCAAGAGTGTTACTGAGCCCCTTGCCAGTTCAGCAATTGCCTTGCCCTTGATTGGAAAGGCCTGGCACCCGATCGGTCACACTACTCGCTTGGCGACCCGGTTGGCGGCCGCCGTGTCATTTCGGAGCCTTTCCTTTTTTTACATGTTAATCTCGCAGCAGCGAGAAACAAACTTGTATGTCTGCAAGATATTGGACACCTAATTGTTGTGCAAAATCCATGTTTGCGCCTGCTCTCCAGTTTTTCACCCAATCGATTCGGGAATATCTGGAAGAGTGACTGCAGAAACTCTGGCTGTCTGGCGGCTGAGAGAGGACTCCGCCACATGAGCTGCTGCACAATCAGCGGAATGGCCAGGTGCACGAGGAAAGAACGGGTCGCGTGCGCATGCGCCAGGAACGTCAGCATCCCCACCCCACCCCCATCCATCACTGGTGTGGCGGATCGCTCACCCCAACCCCATCACTGGCGTGGCGGCCACGCAAACGCAGATTGCAGTAACAGGTGACGTGGTGAACAGGTGACGTGTGCATGAGCAACAATGAACCTGCCCGATACAAACCACACATTAAACGCCCATAATGCGTAAGGTTACTCTCTGTGGTCTCCATGCCTTCTTTAGTGTGCTTTGCAATACTTGACAATGCAAAGAAGCCTTGGCGATGCTCGGCAACTCGTCAAGGAACCAGAATCTTAAGTGCTTCCAAGTCCTACAGAACGCTGTTAATGCCAACCTGTCCACAAGTTGTTTAACATAAGCAAAGTATCAATATAATATGGTACCAATCTGCTTCATCTTCCTCCACGATTCCTTTCTTCCCACCTTTCATCTACTTCACCGTTCCGGGTGGGGTGGTGTTTGCAGATCTGCCTATGAAAATACGTATCCACTTCCTGTTTGGTTTTGTTCCCATGCACATCCTCCAATCCTCGTGCAGAAGAAGTTCAGTATGTGCCAAGTGCGCTTGCGCGCAACGCTGGCAGCGCCGCGGTAAAGCGCTCTTGCGAGAGGCAGCGCCGCGCGTTGTCGTCGCCCCACCCGGTTGCATGTCGGGCACAGGTTGCCAAGAACAATCGGCATGTCTTGATAGGTATTTTGCAGATGAAATGCATCAAACACGGCTTCTTTCAGCAATCCTTGCTGGGTATCCAATGCTGGGTATCCTGAAACTATCTGCATCGAACCCCGATAATCGAGTGGGATCCCCAAACAAAAAAATGTATTTGGGTTTAGTTATAATTAATTATATGTAGTTGTTATTTACTTTCTTTTTTTCTTATTCAATATCTTCTGGTCCATGACAGAATCCCATGAACCATCATCCATCATGAGGTCCAGGTCCTCATCTCATCATCCATCATCAGGTCATCATCTTTATTAAGGGGATTTAAGGGGATGTGGTCTTCCAATACCTCCAATCTCAGACCTTGTTGACCTTGTTGACCTTGAAGGGGGGGTCCCCGTTTATTAATTCTACGTGTGCATTACAGCCCGGGCAAAAAAAAAGTGAGAGGACAACATGATAATCAGAATGGAAAAACATATAGAACACCAAAAACATGTCACATGTTTCCAGCTTTCACAGCTTTCAAACAAACCACTGTATCCACAACGCGCCGAAGCAATGGACACTGGACCACGATGCAACTGGTGGGTGTTTGGCCCCAAGTCTCAGTGCAAAGCATGCCAGGCGGGCCATTGACAAATATCTCGTCACTTCCACAGTGGCTTGGTGCTTTGAAGGTTGATAGCCTGACCATGAAGGTTGGCATTTCCCAATCCACGACAGTCACTAGTCAACAGGATATAACATTGATAGGTTCTCAGGTTTGCCATGGTCACCATGGTCCAACTCCAGTAGGTGTCAATGAAACAGAGACCAACTATATATATATAAGTTATGATTCTAAAAAAACAACACTCCGCCACCTATGAGGTTGCTGTAAAGTCACTCCGATAGGAAGTGAACCCCGAAGAAGAGTGGCAGTACCAGCATAAGCCTGCATGCAACCTCAACTCAATGATTAAAACTCACTAGTCATTAGATATATAAGTTATATACTAATTGCCAGCTCAATGCACCGACAGCGTGGCCTTGGTAGATAAGGGCAACAAAGCCCATGAGTGCGTCATACCAACGCTCGCCTCACTACAAACGCATTGACGAGACGTGACACAGCAAAGCTTGGTGAACAAGCAGGGAACCAATGTTGAAGGACTCAACTGAATCATAGTTCATAGATCATAGATCTCCAATTTTTTTGCGAACATTCCCACACGTATCAACCGGACTCCCATGTTCTGAGTACCTGATTCCCAATGTGTGCACCAAAAACGTCTGTTCCCACGCGTGCCTGGAATGTAGCGGCTCACACCGGGTCGCCCATCCTGACAAACTACACATCGGTGCCAGGTGGAAACAAATTGAACGTCACGTGTGCGCTGAATAGTCGTCGAGTGTTTCTTGTTCTTTTTTAAAGCCCGCTTCTACTTAACCAAGGGAGAGGGAGTAACTATACGCTACTAGTAACTGGACACAGGATAGCGAAGACGCTTCTTCAAAGCCTGCGGGCGGCGGGGAGCTTCCTTGAAGATGCGCTCGCACTCACTATTGATTGGTTCCTAGATTCTTAGGGAAACTCCCTCTGCTCACTGCTTTACTGCTGCTAATGCAAATCTTTCAATCCAAGATAATCCAAGTGACAATAAACATCACAGCCTTGAAGCACTGGAAACAACATTATACAGTCACTGTACACAACCTCTAAATCCTGTCACCCCGAACACAAAAAAAACAAATCACGGTTAATGTTCAATTGAGTAGTTATTGATTCATTGCTATCATTTTTCACACAAACTGTCCCTGTAATCCTTTAGAACGAGACATTTCAATGGTACGCATCTTCGTACTAGAAAGACCATCCCCCGTTTGACAGCATCCAGGAAACCAATTTGCAAGGGCTGGCTTACTACTGGGGGAGGCCATCGCTTCCAGGTTGGAGGCCATCGCTGGTAGTTCTGCCAGTTATGCCATCGTCACCAATAGCACACATATCCCCTCCACAATGCGTCCGGCAACATCAAATCTGTATCCTTTTGTTAACGTCATCAATTGAGTCCTTGTTGTCTCTCAGCCATCCTGGCTGCCCCGGGGGTGCTATAGCTGACCTTGAAAGCGCGAATGAGCTCCAATGCCTTTTGCAATGTGCAAAACAGTAATTGCATTTAAGAGTTTGTGTCAGTGAGGGCAGTGTTTGAGCGATCTGTATTCAAAGGACAACAAAGTGTTCTTGTGCAGTCATACATGGTGCTGGGTGCACTTGCAACTTGGGCAGCCACACACTGAACGCCTCAAAGTAAACATAATGTGTTGTTTTCGTCCTTTTGTTTGTCATGTTGTCACCTTCCTTGTCGTTTCAGTTGTTTTGCCACTACCCTGACATGTTGCTGTGTTTTGTGCTTTTGTTTTTTTGGGAACCATCTGACGCAACGACAAGAGGACGAAACAACGTCGTTTAACAATCACAATAACACGGCAACTCCAGGAATGTGTCACGTTTGAGTTGAGCGGTATGTCAGTTTAGCGGTGTCCCGCATGAAACACCAGGCCCAAAAAGGTGTCCCAACACCTGCTTCCATCGGATGGAAGGGATCCACACACAGGCCGCTTCCTGTGGAAGTCTGCGCCAATGCGCACATCTTTCCAATTGGTTGCCTCACAGGAACAAGGCTTCAAAAGCACAAAGCAACAGAAAGCAACCACATGTGTTCCGTTAAGATTGTGGATCCAGAATCAACAAGCTTGCATCTTTGTTGTTCAAACTGCGAACACCTCGTGGCCAGTGACACGCTTCACCCAATTGGCCAGCTGTTTTGCTGAGAGAAAGGGATCCTGGCACAGTGGGACTGGTGATTGTGTTATACTCTAGACAAATGACTTGACACTCTGGCAACACACAGGCGCCAAAACACCAGTACCATGTCATCTGCCAAAGAGAGGCCCCCCCAAAAAAATCACAGTCCCATGTCATGATGCATTGCTGTGAGATTCTTGAACAGTTTATGTTTTTTCTGTCATTGAATTTTGGCTCAGAGAAGATGGAGTCCCAAACTCCAATGACGTCTCGATCATCGCATGGGGAATTTGTCGGTACTCCGGCTGGTTCCAAGCGGTATCGGCGCACATACAAGTCACCGGCGAGCCACACCCCGCTGGCGAGATCAGCTGAGACACCAACTAGTTGCAAGCGGTATCGGCACTTTCACAAGTCTCCGCCATTCCAGGGTGAGGTGCGGTGCGGTTAATTGTTTCTATTTTGCAAGCACAGGACACATCTTCCACTTAAAGCCTCTTGCACATAGTTCGTGAAGGAGAGGCCTTCAAGCAAAAGCATCGACGTTGGGAAGGAGAGACTAGGAGAACAAAATGCCAAAGTAGGTCCTACAACATGTGCCTCTTCTCTGCAGGAATCGGTCTCAGAGAATGAGAAGCTGAAGGTTCATGTGGATTCGCAGGCTTTTCATACCATGTCCACCTGATGTTTCCATTCATGAATATGGAGCCCCACACGGTGCAAAGTAGAGATGTCTCCATTCTTGGCAGGAAGTGGAGACAAAGCCTGAAGACCTTCAGCATACCCATGTCCCATGTCAGGCACACGTGACAAGTCCACAACAATAACTTTGGACAAACAAATCAGTAGAGTTCATTTTTCATGACCGTTTAGGTAGAAAATGCTTGTCTTTGGAGGAATTGTCCTCAAAGGATGTGGAGCCAAAGCTTCA